GCTGCTTCTCTTACGTTCTCAGGCTCTGAATTGCTAGGCAGAAGGACCTGGAACCCCAAGCTGGATTAAAACCAGAACGGGCGCATGCAGCCGCCTGCAGACTTAGGTGCAAAGACAGGCAAATGGAAGATAAAAGTCTGAGACCTTTGTATGTTCCTGGCCTTTGTCAGCCTGGCAGCTGCACTTGCTTTCCTACGCTCGAGAAAGACCAGCTTTCCAATATCAGGATGGCATGAGCCTTTTTTTTTTTTCTTCTTTAATGATGATAAGTGGCATAATGTTGCCATGAGCAGAAATGTGTGGGCAGGAAAACTTTGTGACGTATTTATTGTTACCGTGGACTGAGATTACTTATTAAAACCAACAAAAGGGCAACAATTGGCTTTAATTGGAGGGATCAGAATTTTTCCTGCTCTCAGAGACGAACCCCGTCAGAACAAGCAAAAGAAAAAAAAAAAAGAGAAAGAAAAGAAAAATCACTCTCATTGGGAAACATTACAAATGGAAATGAGGATGTTGCTGAGCTCAAGACCAGTCTAGGATTGAGGGGGAAGGAGCTGCCAAGCCACTGCAGAGAATAAGTTGAGATTTGTTCAGTGGTGCAGCTATTTCTTCCCCTTATTTAACAACTGTGTGCCCTTGGAAAAAAAAAATCTAAATAAATAGCATCCCAAAGGGCAAATGCTCAAGCAGTATGTAATTTAGCATCACTAGAAGACAAGTGAAGCCAAGACAGAGCCTACACAAACTCTCTTGCTGAAGCTATCAGTGGAATAAATATAAATAAAAAGGAGCACAAGAACACCTCACTGCCCAGGAATTTACCTTCAACTATTTGCCATTTATCTGCTGTCCCACCTGCCAAACTGCTCGTTTTCTGAGTCTCTGCCAGCCTTGCCCCTTACAAGACAGCTTACCTGAATTTGCACTAGGGCTACTCAGTAAAACCAAGACATGGAAAATTTTCACAAAAGAAAAAAAACAAACCCAAAACACAGCAACAAATACCCAGCTCCATTGTTCCATGTGAATATGATTAGTGTGTGAAAGAGATTGCAGAGATAAGAGGCCACATGCCTCCTTGTAGCATCATATTGGGGACCATTCACTCAAGATTTTAAGCACAATGCGGCATTATGAAGTCAGGCTAACACTACAGAAGATGGAGCAAAATACCAGCCAGAATAAATTCTTTCTGGCCAGGGAAAGATGAAAAATGGAGAGCAGGCATGACAGTGCCAGGCTTTGGGATCAGCCAGTGCGGGTCATCTGCCGGGAACACAACCCAAGCCAGCATGATCGCTCCAGCACAGAGTCTGGGTTAGCATCACTGCCTGTGAAGTGTATGTGATTAGCTTATTTATTTTTTTTCTCCTCTTTTCCATGTCTTTTGCTATACAGAGACAAATGGAAATAAATGTTAAGGGAATGAGCGCTTTTAAGCTGATACAGCTCTATCCCCTTCGGGGTGGGGTGTGCCGGCTTTGGCAGAGTGGTTTTAGCTTTGTGCGAGGAGGAAAGTGTGTGACTGGGAGTTCCCACAGAGCCAACAGCCACAAGTGCACCCCTTAAACCAACTGTGTTCCTGGGGATTCTCCTGCGAGCTGAGGGACTTCTTCAGGCCTTTGAGGGCCTCCTGGGCCTCTCTGTGCACGGAGCCTTTCTTGGCTCTGAGGCCATCACTAGGCTTTGTCCATCACCTTTGCAATGTGAGTATGCCTACGTGGTGTCTACCTAGCAATAGCCTTTCTGCAGGTGAAGTGGGGCTGGTTGTGGTCATTCCCAGGGCAGACCAAGCCACCCAAGGATTAATGGCTCGTGCTGGCACTGCTGAGTCAGTGCTCAGCGAGCACCTCAGCTCAGCTGTGTGGCAAAAGCATGACCACAAGGTTGTGGTCGCACTGCAGGCAGGTGCTCACTGCCCATTTCCCTGCTGGCCGGCTTCCTAAAGCGCCATGGTTAGTTTAGCGCCTTTCCTCCCCAAACGCAGACATGTACAAGCAGGTGCATGCTTGCCCATGGGGCCTTGCCATCAAGAACCCTGGCTGTGATGCAAGGCCAGCAGTGCCAGCACGTGCACGGGCACACGCATTCGAACACATGCTCTGCCTTGCAAGCGCGGGAGCTCGCTTCACCCTGGGAGCTGCATCCTTGACCAGCGCTGCCAAACAGCAGCAGAAGCGACAGGCTCCGCCAGTTTTGGGTCGCCCCTGGGGTGCAGGTTGGGTATGAGCCAGCCAGGTGAGGGGGAAGTGCTGCTTTGCATCTGGCACCTGCTCAGGCGCCTGTCTGCCCGGGCAGGACGGACTACGGGTGGCTGAGCTCCAGCAAAGGCAGCAAGGAGTCGGTAACGAGCTGCTGTAATCAGGTGTGGGGGGAAGCTCATCAGGCTTTCTCTTGAGTTCTGCCCATCAAGAACATGCTGGTCAGAGCAGATTTGGCTTCTTCCCCGGGAACGTATATGCCCTGGGGACCTGGATCAGTGCAAGTCTGCCCCTTCTCTTGCAGGCTTGTGCTGTTGGTAAATGCTCTCTCTCCCCGGGGCCTCCTTGGACCCATGGGTTTGCATCTCATGCACAGGTAGGGCTCAGGCTGGCCTGCCTATGCAGTTCAAATAGCCATACAAAGCACACCTTGGAGTGGGTTTCACACCTAAGCATAGTCTGGTGCTGCTCTGCAGTTAGGGGCCAGACAATGGTTTTATTGCTGAGAAATAACTTTGCATGTGCGACTGCTCTTCCTGTTGCAGAACAGCATTAGTGCGGTGTCCCAGGAGGCTGGGAGTATCGCAGCTTCATCCAGAACTCAGATTGCCCCCCCAAATCTGTCACCACCAACCCCTCCTTTTCCTGTAAACAGCCTGGCCCTGCAGCCAGTGCACTGGTTGGGAGGCGGTGTGCAAGTAAATGTGTTTCCAGCAGCGTGGCCATGGGCTCAGCATCACCCCGGGAGGACTGCAGAGGTGCATCCTGCCCCATCCTGAGGTCCTGTGAAGCTAAGGGAGTTCATACCTAGCTCTCACTAGAGCAGGCAAGAAGGGCAGGTCCCAGAGGCCCGAGCCACCATTGGGATAGCTTGTGCAGAGCATGGCCTGGGCAGAAAATGGCTACTGGCTTCCTCCTGCTGTGAATGGACCCCTTTGAGAAGTGGAAGGCACCCAGAGAGGGGCACAGCCTCAAGCCAGGAGCCATCCCCTGGCCCTGTCCTGCTCCAGCTGTGCTGGGCTGCCGTGGCCGTGGGGAGCTTCTGTGCAGCCCAAACACACTGGTGCGGGTCACCCCAGGAGAGTGCTGGTGCAAGCCCGGAGCACTGGGCAGGCTGGAGCCTGCTGCTGGGGAGAAGAGACACTTCCCTGCTGGCAAAGAAACCCAGGTCCTTCCTGCAGTGTGAGGCTCTGGGGCCCTGGGGCAGGCCCATATAGTCATTGGGTGGCCTCCAGTAACATATACTCACCCCAGCCTGAATCCCAAGGGAAAATGTCATTATTGCAGCTGCACCCTGGGGTGCCCATGATGCCCTCCCAGGGTGCCCCATTCAGGTGAGGCCGCAGGCTCTCAGCCTGCCCTGGTCCTTCTGCCAGCAGCAGGCAGAGCTGGGGACCCACTGCCTCTCTCCAGAGCCAGGATGGACTTGTGCACTAGTGCGAGCTGCTGCTCTCTGCACAGGGGATTCAGCCAGGACAGACCGGGCCTCCAGCCCCAACCTGCCAGTGCGTTAGCCGAAGCACAGCTGCCCTCTGCCCCAGGGAATGGCTTCTTGTACCAGCTGCAGGGCCGGGGCAGACTGCCTGCTCCCGTGACATTCCCTACCGCTTGGCCAAAGTTAGGCAACAGAAACACCAGCAGTCCCCCATTCTGCTTCACCTTGCAGCTGGATGCAGTCCTGGCTGAGGCTGAGTTACGGGAGCATCGATTCGGGCTGCTCGGGTCTCTTGGATGGGGGGTGGAAGAGCTGAGAGCACACATCGCTGATAGAGGAGAGCGTGCAGACATGTGTGTTCATATACATGCGGGCACATTTGCAAGCAGGGCCAGGCTGGCTGTATGCTGTACTGCAGTGGCAGCCAGGCTCCAGGCCATCTGGGGCCAGGGAGCACACATCTGAGGCTTGGGAGCGCACACATTGCTCCCAGCTGCAAGAGCGCAGGCACAGGAGCAGCTGTCCAGCAGTTGTTTCGGAAAAGGGATGGAGAGCAGGGGACCAGAGGACAAGTCCAGCTGGTGAGGTGTAGGCAGAGGCTGGTCTGTGTATGTCTACTGCTCACAATGTCCAGAGCAAGGCCAGGATGACCTGGGCAACCACAGAGCCCAAAGTGCGGATAACAAGGTTGCGCCAAGGAAGTCAGGTGCATCCTAGGCAGGACACTGATGTGGGTAATGCAGCTGCGAGGAGGTGCCAGGGGTTACGAGCATCTCTCTGCCGTGGCCAAGTGCAAGCCAGCAGGTGGGCAGGAGATGAACACATGCATGCACAAGGGGACTTGTCCAAGCTCCCTAGTGGAACCAGGACCCTGCCCTCTGCAGGATGGAGCCCATGGGGGGATATACCTCCCACCTCCTCCAGCCACCTTCCTCCGTCCTTCTTCCACGCCTGCTGCTAAGTACTTACATTCCTCCTCCTTTCATCCACAGGGAGGAGGGACAGGAAGAACCCGGGAGACCAGGGAGGAGAGCTTCCCTGGTTTCAGCAGAGCTGCAGCAGCTCCCTGGTTTTCCTCCTGCTTTTGTCCTAGAAGGCCAACTGCCCTGACACCAGCCATAGCTGGTCAGAAAGCCCCACGGGCCTGAGGATGGGCTGGATCCCACACCGGGGAGCATGGGGTTTCTGCCAGAGGTGCAGAGCTGACTCCTGTTAGATGAGACGTGGAGGGAGGCATGGGGAGCTGTGATGTGCCTGCAGGAAAGGACTCCTCCAGCAACAGGCTGGAGAACAGAACATGCCCGTCACTGAGGGACTTCATGGCCTCCGCTTATTGCTGAAGAAACAGACAGCAAACCAGCTTGTATGAAACCCGATTATTCAAATTTATTAACATCAAGAATTATGCAATGATGCTGTAGATTTTTTTTTTTTTATTAACAAATAGAAAACAGACTGTATACAACAGTGACCCCTACAGCACTATGCATCCACAAGGTAAAAATGAATGTGTCCTCCAACATTACCAACCCTGGATTGCTGATTTCAACGTAGCTTGGATTCTTAACATTCGGAATACATGTGATAATACAATTAGATACCCTTCCACCACCTTTATTCATAACTCAATGCACTCAAAAGAGGGCTGCTCACTCCCTGTCTTTAGTGCAAGCGTGATATAATAAGGAGTATTAATATATAGTACCATTAAATTAAGTCCAGTAGTCTTGCCACATTGGTTCATTAGAACGTCCTGAAGTAGCGGAAAGTACAATATTCTAATGACTTTTAACATTTGCAGGATAGCAGAAATTATAGATACACCCAACCTCTGAAAACATGTGTACTCCCCCTCCCCTTCCCTGCAGCACCCTGCTTTCCAAAGAGAGCCGGACAGCTCTGCTCTGGCATCAGCTGGGATTGTGCTCCGTGCCTTTGGAAAATGCTCCAATTTGCAGGTGACAGAATGGTGCTTGCACGCGCAGGATTAACAAAAAGGGCCATGTCTCGCTGTTTCCACCCCATCCCCGGGGAAGTGTGCGACCCACTGACTTCTCCTGCCTCCTCCTCAGCGAGACACACAAAAAGACGCTCCAGAGCCAGGAGCCCGGGATTTCGGGTCTCTCACAAACAAGGCGACGACAACTCACGTCATATTGGGATCTGCCAATACACACGGTCACTGGATCGGTTTAACACGCATTGTAGTAGGACTGAACAGTTTCCAGCTGACAAACGGGACCGCTTCTCCAGCGACCCCACATGCCCCTCCCAAACCTACTCAGGAAATAATGGGGGGAGGGAAAGACTAAAAAAATAATTGGTAGCTTAGCTCCAGTTCCATGAAATTTCATATTCTACAGAGGATTAAAAAGCAGCCTACGAGGAATGGAGCTGGGCAGGAACCACAAGCCAGCTGCTGCAAATTACCAAGGAAGCTGCACTAAAATGGGCAGAACCAGCAGTGACCGGGCTGAAATAAACACAGGGCAGTGAAAATGTTAAAGCAAAAGGAAATTAAAAAAACCCCAACTCCCAAAGGTTTGGCGGGTCCAGTTCTGCCTGGGCAAAACATTAAGACTTGCAAAAAAATAAAAAATAAAGAGAGGAGATTATAAAAACCACTAGTAACTATTTTACATGTTTTAAAAAAAGATCCCATTCCACCCACCTAAAGCCTCGCTGTGAAATGCAGTCGCGTGAGAGAGGGCGAGAGATGCACATGAGCAGAAATTCAGCCAGAGACTGGAAATGCTTTTGGAGCCGGATCCCCTCGTTTGGCGCTGGGGCAAAGTTCCTAAATGCCGTGGTCAGAACAGGTTGGTGTGGAGGTCTGCTGCCAGGGCAGCACCTCGATCTGTACAGAAAGACTGAGGAATGGGCGGCTCTGGCTCAGAGGGACCCGTCTCCACTCCTAGACATCCCCACCGCGACTGGAGGAAAGCACTAGTTACGTTGCATAGTGGTCGAAGCTGCCGAGATACTCCAGTGCCGCTCTGTAGCACAGCTGGTACTGGTCCTGCAAGGCAGCGAGGGGGGGACACATGAGAAGCAGGGACACTAGGGCACCGGGCAGTGGGGTTTCACACATGGAGACCTCCAGCTCCCCTCCCTCCTCCCATAGATCACCCCAGGGAGACCCATGTGCAGGGTGGTGCAGACTGGATATTAGTCTGCACCCAGCAGCAATGGGGCCAGCTGGACTGAATGAAACAGGGCAATGCTGCAGGTAGGGCATAGCTCAGCTTATGGTGGAAACCAGCTCTGCCCAGCTCCAGGTTTCGCACAGTTCTGGGCTCAGGCTGGTCTTCGGGACTGTCCCTTTATATGCAATCCCTTGGGGACCTTTAGTCCTCCTATCACCTGCAGGTATCTGGCCAAAAGCTGTGTAGTCACAGCGAATGGGGGTTCTGGGTCTCACAGGGCCTTGGGTGGAGAGCTGCAAGGACCAGTGATCCCAGCAGATGAGGAAGGGGAATTTGCCCCAAGTCCAGCTCTACGGGCCCTGGACCCCTCATGGGAAGGAGGCTTTGGGACATGTATCCAGCAGCCTGGCTAGCCAGGGAGCTCCAGGCTGCTAGTCTGACCCCCCGGGCAAGACCTGCTCCCAGTGCCTACAGGGAGGCAGGGGCACTCACCTCTGTCTGCACCATGGCTGGTCGCTGTGTCCGCAAGGTCTTCACTGTCTGGAACATGTCAACGACCCCCTCATAGCGCATCCGTTCCAGCACAATGCTCAGCGTGATGAACACACCTGTGCGCCCAACCCCAGCACTGCGCAGAGGGAGCAAGAGGTGCCATTAGAGACCTGCCAGCTCCAGCAAGACTCTGCATAGGTCCCTTCCCAGCATTGCTAACTAGGAGCAGCACAGGTCTCCCCAGTTTGTGGAGCACAGGGGACCTGCTCAGTGGGGCCAGGAGAAGCCACAGGGACATCACCAGCCTGAGATGCCCACCCAGCCCCATGGGAACCACCGATTCTACCTTGCCTCTGGGCCTAGCCGCTGCTGCCCCTTGCTCTGTGCAAGGACCCTTCCAAGGAGGTAGGAATCAGTGCCACTGTGGCACTGGGTTAATCTAACCACCCTGCAGAAAGGCTGTCAAGGGGCGCCATGGACGCTGCCGCCTCCTCATCCCCTGCCTGCCTCTTGCCCCAGGCAGTGGTGTGCAAGGGGAACACAAGGTGCAGCGGAGCTGGCAACTGCCGGGGTGACTGTGGGTGGGGACGTTTCCATGGGCTCTGACGAGGGTGGAGGTGGGTGCTGATCTGTTCCCACTCACCTGCAGTGCACCGTGATGGGCCCATCCTGCCCAAACTGCTCCTTGGTCTTGTGCACCTGCCCGATGAAGTCAATGAAGCCCTCTCCTGTCTTTGGCACTCCCTGCTCAGGCCAATCTGTGAACTGGAACTGGCGGATGGTCCGCGACTGGCCGTCCTGCCGGGACAGGGGTGTTACACTTGAACCGGGGAGGAGATAGCAAGAAGGTCTGATCTTGCTCCCCTCAACGCTGGTGCTGCTGACCTGCTCCCAGACTCCCTGGCCCAGGCCAGGCGAGAGGGTGGACAGGCCACAGGTGAGCCCAGGCAGATCTTGCACCCTCACCACCCCTGGGTGGCTGAGCTGAGCAGGGCCTTTGGGTGCCCACAGGGTCCATTGGGTCACTGTCCTAGTCCTGTTCGGGGCCCAGCTCCACCACAGAACAGCGTGTGCTGTCACACGAGGGTCCTGTGCCTGGTCCAATGCTGCACACAGATTCCAGCTGCTGGGGGGGCCAGTGTTTAACACTTGCCCATATGTGTGTTGCGCAGGTAAGGCAGGGTCTGATGCTGGTAGGGCTCAGTGAGCGGCTCCCTGAGCATGACACAGCCAGCAAGAAAGGAACTTGTGGTGAGAAGGGCAGCAGGGGCCGGGCAGCAGCTCCGGTTGTCTGCAGCGCTAGACAGGGCATTGCTTTACAGTCGCTCCTGGAGCTGCTGCATGCTCCCCTCGCTGGCTGGGGAACTGCAGAGGGGGGCAGAAAGGCTGGAGGCAGGTGAGCCGGGGAGCCAGAAGCCACACTCACCCTGGCATCTGTGACCTTGAACTCCCGGAGGATGTACTGTGGCATGTTGTACTCTGCCATGGGGTCCACCACGAAGTACTGGTACCGGGCAGAGCGCTCTGCGGGCCAGTACTGATGGCACTTCTCCTGCGGGTGATGAGCACAGTGAGTTGTTAACACTGATGAGCTGTCTCTCCTCTGTCCCGCTCCCCGGGAGCATATGCACCTGCCATGGGACACAGGTACCGGCAGGACTCTGCAGTGGCTATCCATGCAGGGCAGGCTCTTCTGGGTACACACACCCTACCATGCACATTGCCCCATCACTCCCTGGAGGGATGGAGGGCTCAGCCCTTGCTCTCTGCTCCTTGCCCTGTTCAGAAGGGGCCTCTGAGGTCAGCAGCAAGAGCTGGCTCTTGCGGCCCAGCGGTGGCACAGAGCGGTCTGCACAGTGGTGATACTGCCAGATGCAGTGGGTGCAAGCTGAGAGGCTAGGGCAGAGGAGGCCAGGAGTGACCCATGCGCACAGAACGACCCAGAGCAGGCTGCGTGCTACCAGACAGGAGCCACCAGGCGGGCCGGGGTGCTGGCAGAGCACCCAGGCCAGGCAGGGTACCTCCTGCGTTGCCTTGCCACCAGGGCTGGGCTCAGCACTATCACCCTGAGGCTTCCCCATCCTGCACGATCCCACCTGGCACATCCCTCGCTGCCGGCAAGGGCTGTCGATTCTGCACAGCCAGCGGTCTGAGCCTCCCTGTGCCACCAGGAGCACAGAAACGCTCCCCCTCTTTGGGAGATGAAGAGCCAGGGCTTCTCTCCAGCCCCAGGGGGGACGGGAGCAGAGGGGGATCCCCTCTCCTGGGCTGCATGTCTCGGAGTTGCTCTCAGCCACCAGGACACTGACAGGAAGCCAGCCTGGAAGGGCTGGTGCTGGGGACAGACTGCAGTGGGCAGAGAGCCCACGCAGAGGGACAGCACCCACACAGCCCCCCTCTCCTCCGTGCGCAATTCATACCCGGCCCATCTCACGCAGCTTTGTCAACATCACCACAATGGTGGAGTTGTGCTCCCAGAGCATCCGCCAGAAATCCTCTGTGGTCTCCGCCAGTGGTCCTTGTGTGGCAATGTAGGCCTTCTGCTGCCTGCGACAAACAAGACGGTGCTCAGACCAGCTCCAGGAGATGGCTAACAGCCTGCCCTCGGGGCTGGCCTGCCTGGAGAGCTGCAGGCAGGCGGCTGTGTGCAGTGGGGAGGCAGGGCTGACAACGTGGCTGCAGGACACGTGTCTCCAGGGCCGGACCACGGACTCTGTGCAGGGGATGAACCTGCCCAGCACGTGTCCTCTGAGTGCTCACCACAGACGCAGTGGGCACAGCCTGGCAGAGGATCCAGCAAGGCTGCCAGACCTTGCTGGGGTGACAGCGTCACCACCCCAGCCTTTTACCAGGAGAGGAGCACACACAGTGCATCCCAACGGCTTGCCCCCCAGTGCTGCTGCACCAAGCCTTCTCAGCACCCAGGGCTGGAAGGTGGCATGGCCAGTTCCCCTGAGGGAACGCTGGTGGGTGCCGGCAGCCCCTGGGAATGACCTGGCTCTCCTAGAGCATCGCTCTAAAACACTGAGGCTGCTGCTTGTCCCTGCCAGCCCGGGGACCTGCTCTCCCACCAGTTCGGGTTAGCAGCACCAAGGAGGTGGATGGCAGCGCCCGGGAGCAGGGAAAAAGGGACGAAGCAGGACACGGCTGGACCAGATTAAGGGTTACTCTGAGAGGGGCCAGCGGCAGCATGCTGATTCCCTGGCTGGCTGGTGCTCAGCCTGGTGTGTGGTCGGCTGCGAGAGCAGGTCTCTGGTGCCAAATGCTGCGCCACGGCCGCGGGCCCGCTTCACCACTGCGGGGCGCCGGAGCCCATGGGATGAGGAGCGGCATTCGCAAATCTACCATTTCATCCAGTCACTGGTGCTAAAAATTAATGAACGTGCTGCAGGACAGCTGTAACGTGCAGGATGAAGACGGGCTGCTTCAAGGTGGATTTATAAGACACGATAAAAAGCAAGGAGCAGGGGTGCACCAAGAAACAAAAGAGCTAATAAAGATGCAGCATCAGTGACGCCTGCAGGACCTGGGGCCAGCTGATCTCTTTAGATAACACTGAGGGAGATTGCTTGGTTCAGAGGAAAGGACAGGAAGAGATAACAGAGCTCTTCGGGGACAGCATAGGTAGCACATGAAACGCTACCACCTGCTGCTCTGGCAGCCCTCCCTCCGTAGCATCGCCAAACAGCAAAACCAGCATCGCTCTTAATCAGCTGTGGAGATGTGACACGGAGGCTGCAGCCCGCCTGCCAGACACCAGGCTACCTGGGGTGGGTGACCATGCTAATGCTGCACGGCTCGGAGCCACCCAGGTAGGAGGGAGCGGAGGCTGCTCTGTGACAGCTTTTCTCCAGCCCCTTCACCCTTCCTCATTACGCTGTCCCGCCCTGGGAGCCTGCCTTGCTGCCGTCTCGCTGCGTTGAGATGCTCACAGGGCGGCTCCCCTGCTGCTTCTGTCTGCTTTGGCCTCCACGTAGTTCTCCTCTCTGGGAACCCTTCCTGGGCTCAGCTGCTGGAGTAGGGAAGGAGGCAAAGAGCCGCTAACCTGGATGCACTGACATCTGTTCCCTTCGGCAATGTCTTTTGCTGCCGGGAGGTCACCAGCCCTAGAGTAGCGTTTGGGCAGAGCAGTGCTGGAGGGGCGTCCTGCCTCATCGTTGCATCCCTGACTCGTATGCTGGGTGACCCTACTGTGATGGTGCACAGAGAGTCACAGGAACAAGCCCTCCATGTGCGCTGTCAGGATTCGGTCGCTGGCCTGGATTACTGCCCAGGAAACAAGCTGGGAAGGAGATGTGGCCACTGGGCTGTTTCTCTGCATTCTCCTCTCCTGGCACTTGGCATTCAAGAATGTGATGCCAGCAGTTAGATAGAGAAACCATAAGTATTATTTCCCCGGGAGATCTCAATTTGTGCTGTTTAAAAGGTATCTTGGGCGCAGAACCTAGTGATGGGCTCCCCAGTGTCCAACACCAGCTCTGCCTGAGGTCGTGCCACAAAATCAAGATGTGGGACAAGGAGTCTTGGGCTTCTGCCTGGATCAGCTATACAGTGCAAGCACAGCTTTCCCTCTCTAGTTGCTAGTGAACAGGGGCAGTTTTACACCAGACGCCACTGATGCAAATTGCATGCCAGGGAAGTCTAGCAGAAGGACCACTGCAGGAGCCAGCACAGTCTCTCACCCCAGCCATGTGGGCATCTGTCTGCCACAATACAAGCAAGCCTGGCAACTCACTCGCTAGCAGTCTCTAGACATGGTAACTAGCACTGGAGCTTCTGAGAGGATGAAGACAGACAAAATGCAGCAAAGTAATCCCCAACCCACTTCCAGGCTGTCAGGACCAGTCCTCAGCAAAGAGGAGCAGGCAACTCTGTCCAGGTTCCCAAGCAGGCAAGGAGGGCTGGCCCAGGCACCTAAGGTGGCCCTTACCTGTATCCATCTATGAAGCTGGCGTTGATGTAATCAGAGCCCTCGACACCCCGGATGGGCTGCAGACAGACTCTCGTCAGCTCGTATGGCATAATGTTCACGAGGCGGTTCTTGAATTTGTTGCATGGGAGGTTGGCACTGATGAAACGTGAGGTATGTGCTTTAGAGTTGGCCAGCAGCTGAAAGCGGAGGAGACCAGTCAGAACCCAGGCTGGGGACGCAGCAACTGGGGGGCGAAATCGGAGCCCTGCACGCAGGGGGAGCAGGGCAGGCAGGAGGTGCCCAGGGCGGTGCGGCTGTGCTCCCTGTTCTTGTGGAGGAACAGCCCCTGGGGAGCCAGGTAGAGGGGCTGTGCCACCATGTTACAAGCAGGCAGACTGCACCTGCCTGCTCCATTTCATATCACATCAGTCCGTTTTTCGCTACCATGTCAGCCCCTCTGCCGTGGACCATCCCACACCTAGCTATGGCGTGGCCTTCATGCTGGCTTTCAAGGCATGGCTGCAGGCACCAGCAGCTCCCCTCCAGGAGCATCACCTGCACTGACACGCTGGAGCAGCCCCAAAGCACATCGGAGACCCACACCAGCTCTCTGACCCACAAAGGGCCAGGACATGAAGCTGTGCACTTCGCTGAACCAGGGACACAGGCTCAGTCCCGTCAGGGAAGGAAGGCTTTCACCAATCCCCCAACAAAGTCATGCTATTTACTTCTCACCTCAGTAGAGCCCAAGAAAAATGTGAAACTTGTGACATTTTTAGGCAACAAAGATCTATTTTGGGTTACTGTGAGACATTTTATGGTTCTCTTTGAGCCCTGCAAGCTGGAGTCACGGTAAATGTGTTACCTAGATTTGCTGGTAGAAACATTCAAACAAAAGTTGCTCCTTTTTCTTTCTTTCTTTCTTTTTTTTTAACAAAAGACTCTCTCCAACGTCTCTTGAGCTGCCGTTCTCGCTGTGTGTGACAGCTGGTCCTTGGCAGAGGCTCACTGTGGGAGGACTGGGTTGCTCTCTGGGGAGTGATGCAGCCATGCGAGACCCTCCCATATCCCGCTCCCCCAGGGTTTCCTATGCAGTACGTCTGGGGACACTGCCAGGGTGCAGAAGGGGCTAAGTTTTATCACTGTTCCAAAATTCTTTCTTTCTCAGAACAGAGTCGCCAAAGTTGAATCTAATTTTGTGGGTCCCTTGAGGCGTTTCTCAGGGAAGGTGTCGCCGTGAGACATAAATGCAGCACATTGGGTTCTGGCACTGTAAGTGTGACATGTAAATCTCCCTCTCTTTCTCATACACATACACAGGCTTGCATGCATGCAAAAGGGGGAGATGCTGGATTAAAGAGTTTTCACCTCAGTGCCCAGGAGGTGAGCCTTGCAGACGCATGAATCCCCCCTGTCTTCTCCCCATCCAATACCTTCCTTCCTACCCATTCACAACTCTGTGACTTGTTCCGTTTTCTTGAGAGAAGTAGCTCCCTTGCTCTGTGGAGGTACTCCTGTCCCAAGCCCTGGGCACCAGCAACTCTGGTAACCGCAGGACAAAGTTGCTCTGTCTTTCTCAGTTATGCAGAAAGTCGATATTTTGCTTCTCCTGCTCCTTTATCATTTGGTGGGAATTCCCAGGGTGAAGCTATATTGCTGCAGTTCATTTTGAGGCCTGCATGGTCTGCTGCCTCCCTGCATGAACTATATTCCCTTGCACGAGTTCACTGGACTAATGCACCTTATCTGAGAACATGGGCGCTTACCAGAGCTGCTTTCCACCTCCAAGGCTGTAATAAATATATGCAATAGGTGGTCACAGACAAACATAGCAAAATGTGGGCCTAGCTTTTTAAAAACAGTACGCCTTAAAACACTGCCTCCACCAATTCTAGACACTGAGGCTTGGTCACTGAGGCTTGGTGTCTAGATGGTTAAAAGATAACAGAGCTCAGCATTGAAGAAATGAGACTATAAACATCTCACATATTTAAATTGGAGCCGTTTCCAGACAAGTTGTTCACAGTAACATCAATTATCACTAACACGATCTGCATCTGATTTCAGATGCCGCTCCTGCCGCACAGTGAACCTAGAGCACAACGTGCTGCTGCGAACTGCGCATCCATCTGCCTTTTATATTCTCCCCAGAAACTGCTAATCCGGGAGGGACCGTGGCCGACACAAGCTTTACAATTCAAACGTATTTTAAATCATTGCCTACCTGGTTTAGAAATGCACAAGTGAGTAACTGTGTACGCAAAAATCCATGGCTCTCCTTTCCCACCCCCTGGACAAATTGTTCAGTGGGGCTAGGTGGGCAGGGACATGGCTCTGGGGAAAGGGGTGCTGGGGCTCTGCCACCAACCTTGAACTCCAGCTCCATCGCAGTAACGCTCTCGCCTGGCGGGACCTGGGTCAGCTTCTGGATGTGAGCAAAGAGGTTGCGTGCAGGCACCTCGGTATTACCACATGTTGCTGCCTCCAGCAAGGCCTCGTGGATGAAGATGTATTGGTCCTCTGTCTGCACCATGTAGTTGCGCTGTGAGCGCATGCATGTCACGTGGCCGTAGATGTCCACTGTTTTCTCATGCTTCATCCGCTCCAGCATGGCATCAATGACAATGAAGCAACCAGTTCGGCCCACGCCGGCACTGCGGGAACAAAGCACGCGCCTGAAGTGACCCTGCCTCCTACAGACACTGCGCCAGCTCCGCTGCCACTTAAGAGAGCACCTGGACCCCAGGGCGCACAAAAGCAGAGCAAAGGCAGAGGAGCTAAAGGCAGAGGAGCTGAGCAGCAAACCGGAGGAGGCAGGAGAAGAGAGACAGGTATGGGAGAGTGCGGGAGGCAACTCAGCCCTTCTGTTGTCTCCCCTCCATTGGTGGAGCAGAAAGGACATGGTGTCACTCTGCCGGTCCAGGCAGTGGCTAGCAGCACTTCCACAGGGGAAGAAGAAAAGTGCTTAGCAGACAGGAGAGCGACAGTGTACGTGTTCATGGAGCCAGAAGACCTGGAGTCCGGGCTGGGCCCTGCTACCGAAGCCCACAGCTTCAAGCCTGCTTGTTCCCTCATCTCAGTCACTGTCTCCTAACCCACAAAACAAGAAAGCCAACCCATAGAGAGAAAAGCCGAAAGGGGGGGAGGTCATGCATTTCTACACTGAACACTTCGCTCAAGCATTAGACACCTTTCCATATCTACCAGAAAAGCAGTCGCAATCCTTGAGCTGCTCAGCCCAAGAGCACCCCAAAAACAACAGACATGCTGTCTTGACACGTAAACACATGGAGAAATATGAAGATGGACATTTCCTCGTTTATGGTGCAAGACAGATCCTTAACAGGGTTTTAATACAGCTTGTTTGTGTGTTAATTATACCTCACTCCCATCTGAAACGGAGCATGAAAGAAGAGTATTAAACACTGCTGGTAAGGCGTATGCTGGAACAGCAATGATGGAGTGGTTTGTTTAGTAATAGTCCCCACTTGGCTGGTATAGATAAATCTCAGGCCAGATGAGATGCTGAACCTTAGCAGCCTAATATTTTCACTGAAAGAGCCCCCTTTATATGCTGGTGAAGAGTTCTACCTTAAAAACTATGCATGAACATTGGTACAGGTAGCTGCACGCATGTCTGTCCATGCTGTAGTTCTGAAAGGTACTACGCGCTTATGCTGGGCAAATTCACATTATTTTTAAACTCTGCTTGCTGTTTTGCAAGAAAAAGTGTGTTCTGAGGCTCTCTGTATAGTAGCACTATTTAATCAGACAGAGCATCAGCAATACAAATTTCACCGCTGCATTGCTGCCACTAGCTGGTGACCTGTTTCCCAACCAAGCATGCAGCGAGGGTTGTGCTATTGTACAGCTTTCCCTGCAGAAACAAGAGGCACCACTTTCAGCTGGAAAACTCAAGGCTCCTGTAGCCAGAAGGCACGTGCCCCGGTGCAGTTTTGCAAACACACAGACCTACCTGCAATGCACAACCATGGGCCCAGCATCTGGTGGGTTACAGGCCTTGACCCGTCGCAGGAAAGCTAGGATGGGAGTAGGGTATTCTGGTACCCCGTGGTCAGGCCAAGCCATGAACTGGAACTGTCGCAGTTCTCGCTTCTCGCTGGAGCCATTCTGATGAAGAAAGTTCAACAGGAGTTTAGCGTGAGAACAGTCTCATCCTGGGAGGGGAACTCACTGACGGGTAACAGCAGGCATTTAGCAGTGTGTGCGCCCCTGCGTGTATCGAGCTTTTGCCACAGAAAATTTGGAGGCTGAGTACAGGCTTCTTACAAGGCCTCCATACCCATGAATGGTCCATGGAAAAGGCCAGGTGATGAAGCTGTGGGAAGCCAGCTAATGCTGACAGCAGAGCAGCTCTGCAGGACTGGAGAAGCCTGGTGGGAAGGGGAGCGACTCCAGTCTGCACAGCACGGGGTCACTGCCCTTGCACTCACCGCATGCTCACGGAAAAATGGGCACAGAAGGGCCACAGCAGCAAGTCTGCTCCCTGCTCCTCCGAATCACAGGGTCTCTACGGGACGGCTGGATCAGTCCTGCATCTGCAGCAGTTGCCCTTCTCCTGTCTCAGCATGGTTGAGTGATGTATGCAGCTATGTGGTAGGACTGGCTGGGTGACTGCTGGGGGCAAGATGCCTTCCCGGGGCGTGAGTGGGTCCCCACCATGGCCCTGCTGCGCTGTCAGCCAGCACAGCCCAGGCTCAGTTATGCACAGAAGCAGCCTGCCGCAAATCCTGTTTGCGTTGCCGCAACCCCCTGCCGCTAGCACTGCCCCCTGGGATTCCCAAACACTAATGAGGTGCGCAGCAGGCAGGAGAGAAGGGCACGCACGTCAGCACGGCCCCTCCATTTGCATTATTAGTGACAGGAGCGCTAAAAATTCCCTGCTTCCTGTGTTGTCTCTCTAATGGGAGGACAGCTGTTACATGTACGCTTGCCAGAGGCAAGCACGGCCTCTGCTCTGTGGCCCCATCGCAGGGTCTGCATGTGTATAGCAGAGCATCAGGTGTCCTGGACAAAATCCAGCAGCGGTCAGATGCACAGCTTGCAGCCAATCTCCCACTGCAGCCCAGCTGTGGGAAAACCAGCCAGCGCGGGGGCTAGCCACCCAGCCGGCCGAGGCAGGCACAGTCAGCCTCCCCTGCCCGTGAGCCGCGCAGCGCCCCGCAGCACCCAGCAGCGGCAGAAGGGTCCAGCTGCTGCACTGCCTGTGCGCTACCTGCAGCACGAACAGCCTGAACCAGCACCCTACCTTGTACAGTGCAAAGGTCCGGACGGTGTAGGTTGCCAGCTCGACTGTGTCCAGCAGAGTGACCTGGATCATCCCATAGGTTTCTGTACCCCGACTCGGCCAGTACTGGTCACACTTTACCTACGGGGAGGAGAGGAGAAAGGGTCAGCGCTGGGCCGCTGGCTAGGGCACCTGGGGTGAGGAACAGGGCTCTGCCCTCCCGAGGGTAACGGCAGAAAGGACTCACTGTGCAAGGGATCCCCAGCACCCAGGTTCCCTTGTCCCTGAATGTCACAATCCCCAGCAGAGAGGCAGGACACCCTGGGCTCCTTTCCTAAGATCCACATCCAAAGAAAGAGTGGGATTTTGCTTCTTCAGACGCTGGTGGAAGGTGGCAAAGGGGGCCAGGCCACCAGCCACAGCAGCAGCAAGAACACTACCAAGTGCAAGGAGAGCCCACAGCACCAGCAGCGATTCGCGCCTGCTGTAATTTTTGTTTTCTCTCTCCCACAGGGGAGTATCAGGGTCTTTGGGGCTGTGCTTGCAGCATCCCTCCCAGCCTGAGCCCCCCTGGATCGAGAGGCGGCCAGTGGCAGCAGGCTGCAGAGCTGGGGAAGCACCACACGGAAAGCGGTAGTTTGTCTGGGGAAGGCTCTCGAGGAGCTGCTGAGGAGAGAGAGAGATGCAGCCTGTATCCCCACCCTCCCAGCTCAAGGTCCTTGACCCACAGCACCGAGCTGAGACAGCGACACGGCTCTGGGTCCAGTGCAGTGGGGTATAGAGAAGGCACAACCTTCCCCCAGCAACGTCCCCAGCCCCGCCGGGGACCCTGCCAGCAC